AGCCACTCGATGTGTCCCTTTCACATTGATGTTTCTCTCTCTCTCTCTCTCTCTCTCTCTCTCTCTCTCTCTCTCTCTCTCTCTTCCTCTTTCTCCCTCCTACTCTATCTGAATAAAAAGGAAAAATGTCCTCGGGTGAGGATAAAAGAAAAAAAAAAAAGAGTAGACTTGGAAAGACAAGTTTCCTCAATGGCCAAATGATGGTTTGATACCTCTGGCAAGAGAACAAAATTTTTATGACATTAGGACACAGAGGGAAGTTTGCAGGTACCAATGCAGAACTGTATAGTAACTTTTTAGAAACGTAGGAATTCTTGAAGAGGAAGAATACCACTCGGGAATATTATTTTGGTTAATGTAATAAGGAACAAGGGATCTGAGTGGGATAGGAGGAGAGAAAGGAAAAGGAAGAGGAAGAGGAAGAAACTGTCGTTCCTTAGGATTTTCCCATTGTGATTATCTTTCTTTGAGGAATTTTTTGTGAATCAAATAAGCAGACGCTTTTTAATACAGTTACCTTTGATTTTGAGTATATCTTGCTTCAGAACAGTGGAAAAAATGCCTTTGCTCATAATGGAAAGATTTACTGAGGAAACACTAAGGCATTTTTCACTCAAATTCATTTAGATTCTTCGTTGAAGGAATCTCAGCCATTTCAGTAATGTAGAAAATAAATCCACTCAAATGAAGATTTGCAACTTATCTTTTATATTGGATTATTTTAAATAATGTAAAAATATTTGTAAAGGTGTATATGTTTCATTTTTTGTTGATTGATTTTTGTATTGTCATTTGAGATGGGCTTTTGGAATTGAAAATTAATTGCCTAGAGTCTAATAATGCTATCAATTGAGTCTCCATTCTAATTCAGCTCAGTGGAAGTATTTTCAGTGTTTTAGCTTTTTTGTTTATTTTGGTTGAGTAAGGAGCTGGGTCACCACAGGAGATGAAATTGTGTAATGAAGCAGGACTTGATTATGGAGGGCCTTTTATACTCTTCTAAGACGTAGACTTCATCCAAGGGCAATTGGGAACCGTGTAGGAGTTTAATGAAAAAAAGTGACATGAAGAATGTTCATGAGGTTTTGCTATTGCTGTGATTTTCATCTAAAGTGGAGGAAAGGACAGGGTTAGGGAGAAAGAGAGCCGTGTAGGAGACTTTTTCAGTCATTCAGGTGAAAGTTAATGTGGTCCGAAGAAGGTGGGAGGTGATAGATGGGCTGAAGAGCTGAGACAGAGGCAGCAATGATGTCTCCCATGTTCTTTTTTGACAACTACATAGAAAGTGATGTCACTCACTGAAGTAGAGAACACAGGAGAAAGAGGAACAGGCATTTCATGGAGTAAGATGATGAGTTTCATTTTAGATTTGTTATTCTTAGGGAATGTCTCAGTCATTCTGCTATAACAAAACACCAAAAACTGGGTGGCTTAACCAACAAGCATTTATTTCTCACTATTCTGGAGGCAAGGAAAGGACCAAGATCAAAGTGCTGGCAAATTCTGTGCTAGGTGAGGGCTCTTTATCTGGTTTGCAAACAGCTGCCTTTGTGCTGTACCTTCACATGGAGGGGAGAGAGGGGCTCTGGACCCTTCTTATCAAGGCACTAATCTTATCATGGGCTCCACCCTTATGTCCTCATCTAAACCTCTTTACTTCCCAAAGGCAACACCTCCAAATACCATCACAGTAGAGATTAGGGCTTCAGCATATGGATTTGAAGGGAGGGGGGCACATTCAGTTCATCACAGGGAACCCATGGAATACCCTTGTGAATAGGTAACACTAGGCAGTTGGATCCCTGAGACAGGATCTCTGGGTTGAATCCCAGTTTGAAGTATAGATTTTGGATGTGTGTATACAATGGTGATACATGCAGCTATGGGAGTGTGTATGATCCCCCACCGAGAGTACTGGAATAAGAAGAGAACAGGTCTGTGGTCAGAAATCTGGGAAACAGTGACATTGAAGAAACAGACAGGAGAACAAGACCCCTAGAATGAGAGCATGGAGTAGTTAGAAGCGAAGGGGCTCTGAAATGTGTTGTCAGTAAAGCAAGGCATTGAGGTATTTCAAGATGGAAAAGGCAGGCTATAGAGTTATATCAGTTATAGAGTCCACCTACGTGACGGCTCATAAAGGTAGATGGGACTTAGCAACATGTGGATGTCATTGGGGTTCATGGTAACTACACTTCTTTGGAACAGTGGACGTAGAAATGAATGGTGAATATAAATTATTTTTTTATTCTAACAAAAGTATAGAAATTTATATAAAAATAATCTGACATTTTATGCCCTGGCCTGTTTCACTCAGTGGTTAGAGCATCGGCCCACGGACCAGAGTCGAGGGTTCAATTCTGGTCAAGGGCACGTACCAGAATGGTTGCTATTCATCCCCTGCTCTGGTCCGGTCATGTGGGAGGCAACCAGTCGATGTGTCTCTCTCACGTCAATGTTCCTCTCCCTCTCTCCCCTTCCATCTGAAGATAAATAGAAAAATATCCTAGGGTGAAAATTAAAAAAAAAAAACTCTGACATTTTAGATTTTTTTGCACTGAGGTGAAACGTACATAAGATTAATGATTTTAGAGTGAGCAATTTGGTGCTGTTCAGCACACTCACAATATTGTCAGCCATCACCTCTCTCTAGTTCTGAAACACTTTCATCACACCGGAAGGAAAACCTGTGTGTATTAAGCAGTAGCTTTCCACCCCCACTCTCCTAAGCTCTGGCAACCACGAATCTGTGTTCTCTCCCTGTGGATTTACCTATTCTGACTATTTCATGTGAATGAAAGCGTACAGGATGTGATGTTTTATTTCTAGCTTCTTTCACTGGGCGTGATGTTCTCGAGGTTTATCCACCTTGTGGTATGTCAGCTCTCCATTTGTTTTCATGGCTGAATGATATTCCATTATGGATAGACCATAATTTCTTTATCTATTCCTCTCTCAAGGGGTATTTGGACGGTTTCTACCTTTTGGCTATTACGAGTAATGCTGCTGTGAACATACATGTACATGTATTTATTTGAGTACTTTTTCCCCACTTTTTTGGGTATATATCTCAGAGTGGAATTGCTGGAGTCTAACACAGTTTTTCAAAACTATACTTTTATATGATGTTAACAGAATCCACAGGAAGCACTGTGCATTGTAGAAAACATTAACTTACACAGTCTATGTTCTTTAAGTAATTCACATTCTCTTTGCGATAAGATTGGTGAAACCACCATCAAACACTTAAGGAGTCCATCAAGAGACAGAGGAGTTGAATGAAAAAAATACATATCCATATTATAAATGTGCGCGCGTGCACACACACACACACACACACACAATTTTAAAAAAGGAAGTTCCCTTTATTTTTATTTATATATTTTCAACTTGTAAATAGATATAGTTTCATTTAAAAATTTTTTATTGTTGAAAGTATTACAGATGTCCACCTTTTTCCCCCCAATGATTCCCCCCTCCCCACTTCCTCTCCCCTCCTGCTTTCCCCAAACTAACGTCTGTGTCCATTGGTTGTACATATATGCATGTAAGTTCTTTGGTTTATCTCTAAATAAGTTCAAGAGATAAACCAAATAACTTATTTATTTAATTTTTAAAATGTATTTTTTCAATTACAGTTACAGTTGACATACAATATTATATTAGTTTTAGGTGTACAACATAGTGATTAGACATTCATATAACTTACGATATGATCACCCTGATAAGCCTAGTACCCATCTAGAAAATACCCTTTAGAATTGAATTGTGAGTCTTATAAGAAGAAAACGTTTCAAGTGAGATGCTTGGGATAAATTGACTCATGTCAAAAGATGGGACAAGCGTAACGTTGGGTGTTTCAGTTTAACTTTTTTTTTATTGTATATGCCCCTAGTGGGAACCGAACCCGGGACTCTCTGGTCCGCAGGCCGACGCTCCAACCACTGTGCCAACTTGCACTCTTGTCTTTTTCTGAAGACAAGAGTGCAAGTTGCACTCAGTTGGCAATAAGGGAAAGAGACAGATGATGAAGTGAAGAATACCCATGGTGCTAATTTAATAGCCAGCTGATTTTAAAAATTAAGATTGTAATTTCAGAATCAGTTTTTGCTTATCGCCCAGTAACCACTGACTATCATTAATGTTCAATCTTGTGGTCTGTACTTCTCCACTTAGATGCCAGTGTGGATATTTGAGTTCTGTCTGTGATAAGCAGTCTAGCCTCCTTGTGGTTTAGTTAAATTTTATCCACATAGTAAAGATGAACAAAGATTAACTCTTAGAGAGGTGGAAGAATGATTGCATTTCCTATAAAAACATTGATGTCTTAAAGTAGCATTTATATTATGTTTAACAGTGTTACTTTCTTCTGCAGTCTCTCCTTTGTTGAAACAACTCCTAGGAATCAATTATGGATGAGATTTTCCCAGATATGACTCTGTGATTCATTTCCTAAGGAGCTTCTGACACTCTTGGCAGAGGAACTAATATTTTCTGGGTGTCTGTTAAATGTTTTATCTACCTGAACTCATTTAAGTCTTATAACAACCAATAAGTGGTAGATCCATAATATGAACCTCAATTTACTAACTCCAGGTCAGGCCTCTGTCTACCATATAAGAGTGCTAATTAGGTTCCGTCTTACATGCTGTGGGTCACTGTAGAGTAGTAGGCTGAGAATGATGCTGAGGATGCAAACAGCTGAGCTTTCTGTTGGGTTAGAAAGAGAGGAAGCGGTAGGGCAGGTCCGTTGGGTGCCATACAGTGGCCGTCTCTAAGCTGCGTCATGTTACTACTCATGGAAAGATAAGATCCTAGATGACTTCAGAAGAGAATATTAATTTCCCTAATAAAATGTGTATCTAGAATAAGTCCAGGGAGATATCTTTTGGTTCTCCCTCATTTCATTTATACTGTCTTTATTCAATGTATGTAATCTCAGTAAACTAACTGCTAGGGTTAATGCATTTGTTCATATATGTGCTACGCATATGTTTCAGGCAGAAAGAGCTGATGGATTTGTCAACCTGCCTGATTTCACCGTGGAGAAAGCATCTGAATGCAAAAAAAAGCAGTAAGTTGTCTGTCATTTTCCACAAAACTTCACACCAGGATAATATCCCTTCATAAAGTTCCTTTGGTGATGTGGTGATTTGGAAGTCAGTGAAGGTGACATTCAGTGTCTTAGAACTTTGGGCTTTGGCACCCTAAACAATAATAGAAGCTGTTAACCTGTTCTTTTCAGGAATTTCCTTTTGTGGAGCAGATGAATGTGAGAACCCCATGGAGCTTTGGCATGGCATGTTGTTAGTGACTGTGTCTGTGACAATTCAAAACAAGCTCCCTTCCGGAATTGGCAGGGAGGACAGATTTGGCAAGGCTTTGTCCTTGTGAAAAGAATGACTAGTTAAATAGAATTCTTCAGAGCTGTCTATATGATGGCAAGATCAGTTACTCTTTTTTAGTTTATAGAATGATCAGTAGCACCTTTACAATGGAATTCTCTTGAGATGTCCTAGACTTGGGGATTGCACCCTGAGATAATTTAAGTCGAAATATTTGAGAACGAATAGAAACCAGCAAGTCACCAGCTGTGGGCCTCATTTTATCGAGAAGGGAAGAGCCCACAGAGCTTGGACGTGCCTAGAACTCATGGGAGACTGCCCCGAGACCCGCTGTCCAGACTCCCAGCCAAGTGCTCTTGATAACATCCGGCTGCGTTCTGCACATGTGTCCTCTTCACCTTTTTCTTATTCTTTCTTCTACCTTTGACATCTTTTCCTGTTTTGTTAGAAAAGGGCATTTCATATTGATCTATGTTACAAGTAGCAGCAATGATTAGTTTATTTCTAAGAAACTGAATAAACTGGTGCTTGTTTTAAGTCTTTGCCATTCTGGAGTTGCCTCACTTATCCAGTGATACATGAGTTAGTGATGATGCTTGTAGTTTTGACCAAACTGTTTATAAATATCCTTGCCCATACCGTAGGATTTCCAGTCTAAATTGTAAAGGGGAAATGCTTTATTATTTGTTACCATTAATGTTTTATATTTTTATGTTAAACTAAAAGTCTGCCTTATATTTTTTCTTTACTAGATGGTCAAAGAAAGTTTTTGATGGATTATCTCTGTGTGGACGTTCTATACTTGATTAGTTTCCTATAAATAAATTCTTGTACATATTTGATTAAATTAATACTGTTCTCGAAGGAGTTGATTTGAGTATTTTGAAATGACACCTCTATCACTCTATATTTTAATTTATTGTCTCTATAGCAAAGTAGTTAGTAAATGAAAATAAAAGAATATGCCCATATGTTTTAAATAAAAACTTGATCATTCAAGACTCAGTCCTGTTCTGGATGTTCCAACAAAATTAATCCTCTGTTTTTTTGTTTTTGTTTTTTCAGTAAAATAGAGATTGGACAGTAGGTATTTAATGTGACTAAATTATGTTTTGTAAATTTACAAAGAAAGCCAGTCAGCTTACCATCCTTATATTTGACTGGTTTGTTTTCAAACTCATTGACGGTTACAAACACTAATTTCTTATGTCTCTGCTTTTCCCCTTCCAGTGCTTTTAAGATCAGCCATCCACAGATCAAGACCTTTTATTTTGCAGCTGAGAATACGCAGGAAATGAACGTGTAAGTAGAGGAAATTGTGAAATCCAGTCTTTATGGGAATAGACTTACTTTGGTCAGGTGTTTAAATTTTAAGCATATGTTTATATCAATTATTATTTTATTTAGTTCTGCTGCTTTAAGAATTAATCCCTTTAGCTGCTGTAAAGTCTTCTTGCTTTCTTCTCTAGTATTTGAAAGTGTTCTGGAGAACTATACTTATCAGAATGGCTATTTTAGGAAGAAGTCATGAGATTCTTTGGAGGAAACCACTAAGTTGAGGAAGGAAGAGGAAAGTCATTACAAGAAAATGTTAGAATGAGAATCAGGATCACAGAAAGAAAGGCTTGAAAGTATTATGTAACTGCGCTTGCAGCTTTTGGAAAGAGTTCTGATTTTTACACCATTTCATATGTGCTGTGTGATTACCATGATGATTCATGTGTTCATCACCTCTCCATGTTGAAGCCCTGATATTTTTCAGAACATTCTTGCTCAAAATAACATAAGCTAACATAAGTTTTATGTCCTTAAATTCCTGCTTCCCATGGGCTCTGTTTAAATAAGTGGAATATATACATAGATACAGCCATACTATATACTACCTGCTTGAGGCATCAGGGACATTCTGTTGGATTTAAGCTCTATTTTCAGAATTCTTCATGTCTCTTATTACCTTACATAGCTAATTAAAATATGTCTATGGAATACCTACTATGTGTCCCGTTGTAGCAGATCCTAGGCAATCGAAGTAAAGAATACAGACATAATTCCTCCATTCGTAGAGGTTATGGCTTAATCTATTTTATTTATTTATAATGTTTTCTTATCTGCCGTATATAACTTCTCTTTGACCCCTTGCTCTAGAAACTTAAAGAATAAAGAAGCTGCTTTTCACCAAACATGCATGAGCACGTGTGAGTGCGCGCGCACACACACACACACACACACACACACACACACACACCCCTTACAGGATATCCTGTCAGTAGCTCGGTCTAGCCAGCAGCATTCTCACTGGTTCCCCACACTCATCTCCCTCCACAACCCTTCCTATGAGGGCAGAACAGCTCTTTATGGAGAAACCCAGTGTTAGAAATGACAAGGCAAGAAACTGACAATCGAGTCTTTCAACCCAGTCCTTTACTTACTTAGACAAAGAGAGAAGTTGTTTCTTCCCTCTTTCTGATTTTAGCTTTCTCTCCCTGGCCTTCTCAAGTGTCTGGAAAAAAATAAGAGCAGATACACAAAAGGAGAAGATTTTAAAAATTTCGTAGGCAAAGCTCTTTATGTTCCACTTCATATTAGCAAGCCCTAGGTGTGTAAGGGGTGTGTGGAAGGCTTCATGTCTTGTCTAGCAGTACTTGGAGCCCTGATAGTCTGGAGTTGAGCCATCAATTAACCCCACTTGGACTCCACCCCCCATCCGCCCGTAGCCTCCTGCTGCCCCTGGCTTCTCTCAAACAGCGGCTTACATCTCCAGCTTCCTTCCTGTCTACATCCTTCCTACCCATCCTGTGGCTGGTTCTTTCAAAGTGGTTCTATTCTCTCTGACAAGGGAAGAGGGAGACTGAGTTCACCAGAGAAACAGTGCTGTTTTGTTAGCTAGTGAATTTCTCTTCCGGCTTAGCAAAATACATTTGTAAACCAGTATGAGTTTGGGACCCTTTCAGGGTTATTAACCTGTTACATTTCAGGCAGATTTGCTCTGTAATTCACTTACTGCGTTATTTCGCTCCCTGCTCACCCTCTTTTCCAGTTTATGTTTCTGTTTCTAGTCCATTTATCTTCAGTGCTCATGTCTTCCCTTTGCAGAGGTCTCACAGTGAGTAGAATTATATGACTATTAGGCTATACTTGTGACATGCACACTCTGCCTGGTTGGCTGTTAGATCAAAACCTTTCATAGTTACCAAAGCCAAGATCTTACTGCCTGTCTATGCTGTGAAGATCTGTTCATTTTACTTGAAATTATGTTAGCATTTGTCTTTCCAGCTTACAAACAAGATATGAATTGAAATTTGAATGTAAGGTGTCCTGATCCCGTGGTTTTGAATGACCTTTATAGCTGAAATTGTCCATCTGGCCACTCATAGAAAAATGGCCCATTTGTCTGTGCTTGAAAGTATCATAATTTCTTTTATTTATAATATCATTATTAAGTTTTATTATTCTAAGATGGTTTTTCTAAAAGCCGACAATGCAGAATCCCTTGGGCCTTCAGTATAACTTCTCCCACAAGGCTGTTGATGTGAGTTTTAAATATTTGTTCTGCAGTCACACCTGAAAAGCCTCCTTTCATGCTGATGTGGCTGTTGGAGCCAGTACATACTGTGTCTGGGTGTTTTTTATTTTTTATTTTTATTTGTTTAATCCTCACCCGAGGATACTTTTTTCCATGTATTTTCAGATAGAGTGGGAGGTAGGAAGGGAGAGGGAGGGAGGGAGGGAGAGAGAGAGGGAGGGAGGGAGAGAGAGAGAGAGAGAGAGATTGGCTGCCTCCTGCACGACCCCCTAGCCAGGGCTTGGGACCAAACTGCATAGGAGGCACATGCCCCTGACCAGAATCAAACCTGTGACTCTTTGGTCCTCAGGCCGATGGTCTAACCGCTGAGCCAAACTGGCCAGGGCTGTATCTGGGTGTTTCCTAGTGAGGCGGAGATGCTGGGGAAGGAGGGAATGAGTGGCATTTGCAGAGACGGGTCCTGTTTTGGAAGCTGGCTTCGTCAAGCTGCACTCTTGGGTGGTGACACTGCTCTTGGGGATGATGAAGGGAAAGGCAGTTAGGGTTAACAGAAATGCTGTGCATGCTGAAGGGACCCTCAGTAAGGACAGGGGTAAGTAACTAAGGGTAATGAAAGAGCTGGTTTCTAAACAAAGACTGGTGGTAGCTTGGCCTGCAGTGTGGCTCGGTAGATTGAGCATCCTCTCATTGACTGAGAGGTCCCAGTTCCGTTCTTCGTTCCATTCCCGGTCAGGGCCCGTACCCAGGTTGTGGGCTCCATCCCCAGTGGGGGGCGTGCCGGAGGCAGCCAATTGATATATCTCTTTCACATTGATGTTTCTATCTCCCTCTCCCTTCCTCTCTCTAAAAACTCAATAAAAACATATTAAAAAAGAAAAGACTGGTTGTAGCTGCCTTTCTCCCACGGTGCTTGCAGGAAGAATGTTCTTGTTTTGTACATCCATTTCTTAATACTTGTGTTTCTCCAACACACGCATTCACATCACGTCAACATACAACAAACTCCCAGGAAACATCTGTCATCTTTTATGGAAATATAAGTCTTTTTAGGCACCCATCTATTTAGCCACAAACAGAAAATTTTCTACTGCCTCAATGTTTAGAAAATAAGCTCTTAGCAAAGAAGGTGCTCTAAGCCAGTGGGTTCTGGAAAGAAAACAGTTGAACAAGATCTTAATCAATCACTAGTTTTTCACAGCAAGTAACTAGTCATGGCAATGAACAGGCCTGAGAGGAATTGTTCTCTTATTGCTAATACTCTCTTCCATTTTGCTATGTTTTTGTATTTTCATGTTCTAGAAGGAACTTAGAAATGCCTCTGCTTGTTTCGGGCATTCTCAGTTTAACACTATTTTTGCCTTGATATGTTAAAAATACTTTTATCTATTTCACTTTTTTAGATGTTTTTTGTGTGGGGAGGATCAGCTTATATAATTATGAAATTATGTATCAACTAAGAATGAGTTTATTTTAAAAAGTGAACCATTAAATTCATTGTGCTTTGCCTGTTCAGTGTTTAAAAATGTCCTTAAAAATATTTCTTTTAGTTTTAGGTAGTACATAAAACATATTCTTGTAAAAATATCATATAATACAGAAGGATGCAAAGTGAAAACCTTCCCCCACCCCCCAGCTTCTCTCCCTGGGATGAACTACTTTTAACAGCCTGCTGTGTACCTTTCCTGATACTTTCTTTGCATACCAATGTGTGCATACATACAAATATACAGCTTGAAAAGGTGGTGGCGGGGTGGTGGCGGGGGAGGGTAGAGGAATTAAGCCAAAAATTTAAGAAAGGGGAGAACTGATGGGCATGGACAACAGTGACGACAGCGTGGTCGAGGGGTATGGGCGGAGGTGGAGGAGGGCGGAGGGAATAAATGGCGATGGGAAAAAATGAAACAAACAAAAGTGCATTGACTCAGGCTAAACATGTTGTTTTTACTCCTTTTCTCATTTCACAGTATGGAGGATTTTTCCAGGCACTACAAGGCCCCCATCTGTGTTTTTATTAGCTCCATTATAACACGGTGCTGGTGGACTCATTGCCATATTTTGTGTATCCATTTTCCTATTGATGGACAATTATATATATATAAATATATTTCATTTTGCCATTGAAAGGCTTATTGAATTAACATTCTTCCACATTTTTTGTGCATATGAAGTTATGTTCTTGTAGGCTAGATATTTATAGTTAGAATTGTTGGCCAAAGGGATTGCATATTTAAATTTTGAATAGTATCATTGAATTGCCTGCTTAAAATGGGCTGTATCAGTTTTCATGTTCAACTCAACAAAGGATTAGAATGTTTTCTCCTAAATTCTAGAAATCGGAGATATTTAAAATGTTTGCCCATATAGTGGTGAAAAATATTTTCCTGTGTTTGAATATGCATTATCTAAAACACGATTGAAGCTAAGAAAATTTTTTCCATACGTTTATGAGCCATTTGTATTTTTGTGTGTGTGTGATTTCCTGTTTACTTATTTTGTTTATTATTCTGTTGGGTCTTGATGAACATTTCCAGTTCCTATGGCGTGATCTGGGCCCAGGTATTGTTCTAGTTAAGTGACCATTAGTGAGTACATGTTTCTCATGATGGTGAAGGAGACTTCATAGACGAGGCGGGAGCTCATCTTTTCCTTGTAGGCAGTCCTATTTTATTTATTTTTAAAAAATCAGATTTATTATATATTTTCTGTTAAAAAATGCAGCAAGGCCATGGCAGGTTGGGAACCGGGTAGAGATTCCTATCGATTGACAGTTGGGAATGTGCAGTACTCTGTCGTGGTGGGAGTGTAGCGTGCTGAATAGTTCATGAGGTGCATCACAAAGCTCAAGGAATCGAAAAGTACAAGTAAATCTGTCAGTCCATAGCATTCTTATTGTTATTCTGTTGGTGTTGGTAGACTTAGACCACTACCCAATGCTCTGGTTTCTCAAAAATAATACTCAATATGGAATATATTTTTTAAAATACAGAAAACTGGAAATAAGTAGAGAATAAATTGCTTAGATTATTACTGCCGCAAAACAATATATTACCTTTAAATAGGAGGTTATATAGTTACCAGCATATGGAATACACATGTTATAGCTTTTAAAAGTGTGTGTTATAAAATATGTTCCTAGCAAAACTCTTGAGAAGGAACTGCAGTGTCTTGAAGTTATAAGCCAAGTTTGAGTTCATTAAGGTTTTAATTGTTCAAATTTTGTTTTGATGTTTAGTTGGAATTTATTGCCAACAAAATGGCAAATCAACAAAAGAGATGACATTGACGGTTTTTGCTTTATATAAAATTCTTCAAGGAATTAAACTTTTCTCCAGTTTAGGAATATCTGTCTAGTTCTAGCCAGATCTTTTACTGATTAATATAAAGATTCTGGCTTAAAAAGATATCATCTTTTCTTTTTGTGTGTGTGAAATAAACAGGCATTTTAAGGATTATAGAGACAAAATTTTGATGGTCAAGTTGCTAAACTTAATACTAAAGATTTTAATGGTTGCTAACAATTTCAAATACACAATTGCAGAAGATGTATTTGTTCATATATTTAGAACATCCGATGTAGTTGCCCACAGAAGTCAACTGGATAATGGGCTACCTCATTTCTTTTCTTTTCTTGCAAAGAATGCACTGATTAAGGAAAAAAGTGTGAAACCAGAGGTTCTTCAGCTTCACAACCACAAATGTATGCTATTTCTGGAAATGTTTAGACTGATGTAGAATTATGACTTAACTTTATTGCAAAGTCTGGTACAAAACCTTCTTTTGAGGACCTAGGAGAAAGGTGACTAATCTCTTTGGTCAAACATTTGTTTTCTATTTAAATTTTAGGTGGTTAAACAAGCTCGGATTATCTGTAATCCATCACGAATCCACTACAAAGGATGAAGGTATGCTTTACTTTAAATTTCTGAAAATTTAGCAAGAATATTAGAATAGGATGAAATAAGATGAAAAAAGAAACCAAACAATGTCAAATTCTATGCATAGCCTTATCCTAATGAAACATACTTTGGCATTTAAAAAATCTGAACATATGTAGAGACATAATCACACTGACTCACCAGCATGGAGTAGAGCTTCCTATGCAGGCTATGAACGCTTTTCACACCTCAACTACTTGTTAGCAACTGTGGGCTTCAGTGACATCTCAAACAAAGTTGCCAATGCAAATGTTTTATTGCCCCACTTACTGGATTCTTACTCGTAGGCATTATCGCATCATGATCTAGATAGACACCTTTCATCCCACTATTTCCTTTCTGTTATTTTAAAGTTTCTACCAGATGTGTGCTGAGAATTCATTATTCTATATTAGGAACCTGAAGGTCAGATTGGGACACAGGCCGAGTCTCAATCTATAGCTTTCAGGGTTCACAGCTACAGGTGTCTAATTCCTCTTAATGAAGCAAATGCTCCTTAATAAGGAAAAGAAGGAGGCATTGGGTTGCCAGGTCACAGAGCTGATACTCTCTGAAATGCTCAAATCACATAGAACTTGGGAATTGGAACTAGGGAGTTATACCTTAGGATCGCAAAATCAAACAGTCTCAATTTAGAAATATAGAAAAGTGGCAATTTTTTTCCACCATCTCTTTCCGGGGGTGCCATACACCTGGCTCAGCCTGCCCTGCTACTGTTAGCAACGCCTTTGGCACCATTGATGGTTTACTTACCCTTCCAATTTCAACTCATTATGATTCCTGTGATCAGAATTAATCACTATTGATTTTATGCTCCATTAGTATATGCGGAATTATTTGAGGAATTATTTTGTTTTGCCTGGGCTACAGTTAGTCCCCTTCCTCTGTGTTGGGTGCTCCTTGAAGGCAGAAACCCTGATACGGCCATTCACGTTCCCCTCTTCTGTAATCTTGCGCCCAGTAGCTCCCTAGACGAGTACTTTCAGAACTGGAACGGAATTGCAGTAGCCAGATGGACAAGCCTCTCTGCTCTTGCGTTACGGAATAAGTGATAACGGAGTTGAAACATTAAGCATTTGCATTCTTGTTACAGAATGCTACAGTGAGAGTGAACAGGACGATCCCGAAATAGCTGTGGAGACAGCATGGCCTCCTTGCTCTGCGGAGACTCTGTCTCCTTCGGTATGTACCGACGTAATTGGTCTGTTGTTCATTGATCAAGTGCATGGATGTTATTCCTTCCAGTTGGGTAGGAATTACCTTGACGTATAATTTTTAGAACAGGCTAAATTAAGATACTTGCCAAAGAGCAAGCACAATTCTCAGGGTGCTGATTTTGAACCTTCTCCATAGCAACCCACTGGTATGACAAACTTGGAGAATTTGTGCATGAACCACAGATGTATCCGTCTCAGAAGATTCAGGGTAATCCCAAGGGCTTCTCAGTGACAGGTCACCGCTTGCCTAGACTTGTTTTATAATGTTTGGTTGTACCCTACTTATTCTCAGGAAGAATTGTAAGCGCCTTGCCTCGGTGCAGGTGTTACACTGTAAAACGAATGTAAAGAGGATGAAGACAGCGCATTCAGAGAAAACTGGAGTCAGGGAGCAGGAAGCCAGGAGCGGGACTAGTGTATTAGAGCTGCACATGGAATGATTCTGAATATTCACGAGAGAAAAATCCAGGATTTGGTTATTTAAAATTTTTTTTTAAATTTATCTTTATAGTTGAAAGTATACAGATGTCTCCCCTTTTTTCCCCTATTGACCCCCTCGACCCTGCTCCCCACCCCCAGCCTTCTCTGCCCTGTTGTGTGTGTCCATGGGTTATGCATATATGCCTGTCAGTTCTTCGGTTCATCTCTTCCTGCCCCCTCCCTCTTCCCTCTGCCATGCAGCAGTCTGTTCCCTGCTGCCATGTCTCTGGATCTATTCTGTTGGTCCGTTTATTCTGTTCATTAGAGTCCACATATAAGTGAGATCATGGGATACCTGTCTTTCTCTGCATGGAGGGACCTGAAGAGTATTATGCTAAGTGAGAAAAGTTCAGGTTTGACTTGAAGCTTTCAAAGTGTCCAGTGTAAGTTCAGGTTATTAATGGATGTCAATTTTGTGTTTTCCCAGTTCCTGGATTTAAGGTGTTGAGTATCATTTAAAAAATGATCTCTAGTGTTTACCTCTGTCAATGCATGTTTATGGTCGCGTTTCTAATTTATTTGGCTAGCAGCCAAGACCAGAAATAAATATTTGTTGACTATTTTTTAAAATCTCTATTAAATAAGATTAGCCAAAATTAAGCAAGACATAAATAAAATTACATTTTGAATATAGTAAATTTGGACTAGTTTTATAATCTACTTTCATAACTTTTTCTTAATGTAATCTTTCTCTTTTAAAATCAGTTTCTGAAACCTTTTATTGCTCCTAAAGTAGTTAAGAAGGCCTTCAATAAATGTTCCTTTTTGATTTAGTAAAGAAATATCTCTCTCTACCTTCTCTTTCTGTTTCTCTCTCTTATTTTAACCTGTAATATATAAGGATTTGGTTGGTTCTCTCTCTTTCTTTTCCTGAAATCTCCTCTCTTTCCCTCAGTACCCCAGATGTGACTCTTACATGATTTATTTTAGTTCTAAAATACTGTGATTTTCCTTTTCTTAATGGAAAATTAGTATCACCAATTACTTTACTAAAAGCATTGTCAGGTGCCTGGGGCTCTATTTGATGAAAGTAAATGCAATCAGTTATCTTCTTACATGAAGGGTCATGGCTCAGTTGCACTGTGCAGTGACAATCTTACATGATGTTATGGGGAATGATGTTTTAAAAACAAATAATTGAAGGGGTGCTTATGAAACCAGTAAGTTACGTCATGGAAGTAGGAGGATCCTTTAGAATTTCTGAGTCATTAATCAAATTTTTTTCGAGATCTATGTTGAACATTTTTGGGAAGGCCAATAAGGCTAACATTTTTTTCTGAAGAAATATATTAGAAATAGATAAATGTTGAAGGGCTAGATTTTATTTTTCTTAGAAATAGAATATGTTCTTCATTCTTGCATATTTCCCACGCAGATTTTGTTTTTGTTTCTTCTTGTTTCTGAAAAACAAACATGTGAGACACTTGGTTAAAATAACATTTAAGCTTTTTATTTAAAAAGATGAAATTTAAAAGATCACAGTAACTTCTATCCAGAGCGTGACTCAAGTTGTTTTGGCTCAGTTTAGCAGTCTAGCTGTGACTGATCTATAGAAGCCTAGGCAAAAAAGAAAAAAAACCCGACCCCCAAGTTCTTGCTTTAAAAAAAAATTGAGTAACAAACTTTCATTTTGGAATGATGAGCTCAAAAGAATAAAATCCTATTAGTCTGGAAAATTCTCTCAATAATTAAAAAAATATTGACTTAAAATTTTAATTCAATATCCAATTATTCTATTGGCTATCAGCACCAGACCAGTTTGGACCTCTGCCTCCAGAGGCTGAATCCCACTCCACAGTTCAGTCTTCCATGGGTGAACAAGAGGTTTTTGTTTATGCTCCTTTTTTTCTTGAGGAGGCTTCACAGGGTGGGTACTGGACAGGACATCCATTTAGTCATAGAAAATTAGAAATGGGAGCTTTTTGACAGGTCTAGTAAAACTCAAAATAGATGGGAGTCTGTATTTCACTTTGGAAGATCATTTGTAGAAGTCACTTTCCATGATTACCTGAAATCACAAAAGAGCAAAAAGGGAACCAACTTCATTCATGTTTTAAACCTGATATTAGAAGTTACAAAGTCATTTAAGAGCTATAAAAATCATTGAAGATCTGTCCCAAAGATCTTCAGGGTGGGACAAAAATAGTTTTACAGTTGTTTGTGTGGAAAAATAATATAATAATTAATAAATAATAATGTGAGAATAAACTCTGTGCTTCATGTACTCACAACTATAAACCTTTGCTCCACCCTGTATTTTCCCTTTAAATTTAATTTTTAAACCTCATTGTGTGAAAACTTGATCTGTGGTTATATGCTTATTAATTGATTTAACAAATATTTGCTGAGAGCCACTGTTCTAAATACTTGGGACACATCAATGAAAAAAACCAAAACAAAACAAAAAACCAACACTGATTGATTTCTTTGTGGACCTACAAAGAAACCTACAGTTGAGGGAAACTGAAGAAAAAAAACAAAACAAAACAGAAAACCAACACTGATTGATTTCTTTGTGGACCTACAAAGAAACCTACAGTTGAGGGAAACTGAAAATAAACAATCAACATAAGTAAAATATCTGCTATGTCAGTAAAAGAAGAAGAGCTGGGTGAGTGGGGGAGGTCAGGAATGCTTGAGGTCGGGTTGCAGCAATGAATAGGGGGCCAGCACAGGCTTGAGTGTGAGCTCAGATCTCACACTCAAGATGGTGAGAGTCAGCCAGGTAGATATTTTGGGAAGGAGTTTTCCAAGCATAGGAGACAGTTCAAGCCAAGATCTCCTTGGTGCATTCAGGGTAGTGCAAAGAAACAGGGTGGCAGGAGCAGGGTGAACAAAGATGAGAGAGAGCAGCAGGAAATGGGCATGGAGTAGTGGTGGGCATACCATGTGGGGCCTGTGCTATTGGAGTTGTTTAGGGAACCTTCAGAAGTTCCCTAACTTCTGAAGCAGAGGAGTGATGTGATCAATTTCCATTGTGAAAGGACCCTTCAGGCTGTGTTGAGAGGACCTTGGACGTGGGGCTAATTATAAAATCAAAAAAATTTAAAGGAAGGTGTGCAGTGAGACATGGTGGTGATTCAGAGCAGGGCATAGTTGAGAAATGAAATCGTCGGATATTGAATCTGGTTAGACAGACAACCCAATAGGTAGATCGTACATGAGAGAAAATGAGAAGATAAATGTTTGTAATTCCAGCTCCAACAAGCTCGTGCAGATCATTTTGACATGACAGTCCCATATTTTACTGCTTTTGAGAAGTACAATTCCTTTATATCCAAATGATGAAAAAAAAATAGCTAAGAAGAGATCAGTGATAACAAACCCTACAAACTGTGGCCCATCAGCCAGTAGCAGAGGAGGAAGTCTCTTAAACACAGGAAGTGATAGAATCACTTTTAGAAATTAAAATGTAATCCTAGTAGGATAACTCCTGCACAGGTGTTTACTAAAGCTTACTTGATCTTTTGCTGTCTACTATATTAACTAATAGAAGTGCTTGCACATGAGATAGTTGTAAGAAACCTTATCAGCGACTACACATTTAAGGAAAAGTTAGAACATTTCATGTTTTCTCCTCAAGATGCAAAAAAGTATAAGCTCTGCGGTTGAACATTTAACTGATTGTAAGATTATTCTAAAATTGTCTCTTACGTGTTTGTTTCTTGCTTTAACAGTTCATCTTCTCAGCCTGCCCTTCTGGCTGTCAATCACAAGATGGGTTGGCTGTCTCTCAACCAGTCTTATGTCTTCCATTCCCGTTGCCCTGTTTGGGACCACAGCAGCTGTTGCTTGGGTTATTGAAATAGCAGGTTATTTGTTTTCTCAGTCTCTCATCTCTTTCTCCTCTTAAAAACCACATCCAAATTAGTCTATCGAAAGTACAGTCCTATAATATTGATTCACCTAGCAAGACCTTTCAGTAAACCCTCATTGCTTATCACATTAATTCTGGACTCAGTGGCATGATATTGAAGACACTGGGCTTACTTGACACCAGCCCTACAGCCTTGTTGCTGATGTCTCCATTGCCATCATCTCAATAAACTGCTGGCTGTTTTCCCCAAAGCTCTCCAGACTTTCCTGCTCTTCAACCTGGAACTATAAAGTTTCTCCACTTGCAGGCACCTCTTACCCTCACCCTAAGTCCACCTTCTAAATACCTTTCAAGACAGGTTCGAATGTGACTTTGTTCATTAAAGCTTCCTTAGTTCTTTAAGTCAGGATAATCTTTCCCTCTTCTGAATTCTTTATATACCTATAGTGCATTGTTTTTGATACCTTTTCATGTTTTCATCTGCCTTATATTATTGATTTTGTGTATCTGGTGTATTTCTCTGATTATTAAGTTCTTAAAGTCAGAGTCCAATATCTTTCTCTTTACCCATAACATTTAGGACTATGCCTAACACATACTTGAAACTAGTATTTATTAATGGACTGATACATGAGTGAATGGATGATTGTTGTGATATAATCCACATCCTCAACAGATTGTTGTTCTACGAACACTTTCCTGTGAGATCGGGAAAGTTACTACTTCATACTTGTCTAGTGCTTTCATATCGCCTTGGGAAGGGTGATTCCATTGGACTTTCCCACAGATCCCACATTTGTTTCTCAAGTGGGTAAGCCACATTCCAGAGAAGTAAATAAAACCATCCCAAGTATCATTTGCAAGCTTAAACTTACATTTTTTTAAAGAATATTCTTTTATGTTATCTCATTTGCTCCTCTTGGTAAATCTGTATCAGTCAATCAGGCAGCTGAGAAATATTTTTGTCTATGGACCATGTACCAGGTACGGGAGGCTGAACTGAGATTGTGTCTCTTTCCTTGAGCATCTTGAGTTCTAAGTTGAGGAAGAGGCACAATAAATGTGTAATTCAAACAAAATGATCTCAAGTGCTGATAAATGCTATGAAGAAGGAAAAAATAGGGCAGTGTGCCAGGGAGTGGCCGGGATTGGGAATGGGAGGTATTGCTTTGTCTATGACTGTTGGGGAACAACCTGCTGAGGAAGTGATATTTGATTGAGACCAAAATCATGGGAAGAAGGAAGCCAATGAGCAATCCACAGACAGAGCCTTTATGGCACAAGGAGCCAGAGATTTTCTCAAGGAACAGATAGAACACCAACATGGCTGGAAAGAAGGGGGCAGCAGAGGTGGAAGCAGGTGGTTCTGGAGGGGCTGGTAGGGGTTCATGTAGACCTTTCCAGCTGTAATGAAGACTAGGCTATTTTTCTACTTGTATGGGCAGTTATTAGAAGCTTTTCAGCGGGGGAATGTCTTGATCTGTTCTATGTTTTAGAAATACTCTAGTTATTGTTCAGAGGATAGACCTGGATGGGGAGAGGGTGAGTGATGGTGGAGACAGGAAATTAGTAGAATAGGACTTGGAGGTAAAATGGCTTCTCCAAGGTCATGGATACTAAGTGTTGGGTTGAGGAAGGGAGTATTTTGCCACTTCATTGTCCAAGGCCATGCAGAATGTCAGTGGCAGGAGTAGGGAGTATATGATATTCAGGTCTCTGGAATTTTAGGGTAATGCTACTAGCATATGGTAGAAATACAGACAACACTTTCTAGGGCCAAAGAGCAATTGCCTGGCTTGTTTTTGTTGATATAGCTAATAAAAGGAATGAAAAGCTCTGTACATTCCTTTTTTTCTCATTTGGTTTTATTATGTTTAGTCTTAAGTTATTCCTGTATCTTCCATTTTTTAATATGCTTTGACTGATGTTGCGTAAAGTGTATATGCTGACTCACTTCTTCCTAATTTCAGGCTTTGGGTGGCCATTTAAAACTATTTTCTCCATGTCAAACTTATGTTTTTAAAACAATCCAAAGAAAAAGATTATGGAGCTAATCAGCATTTGTACTATGCTTCTTTGATGAATAAAAGTATACCGAACATGGGGAAAAGTAATATTGAATTTTTAATTTAATCATATACATAGTGTCTTCATTAACATTATACTCTTTCAAATGTCTTTAAATCTCATTAAAAATAAATTATTTAAATCCCAAATGCTCTGAAATGAATGAAATCCCATACAAATGTTAATATCTAATGAATAAGATGATACTTTTGTCTGTGATTATGAGAATATTTTGTGAGAGTGTTTGTACTGCAGTCAGTACCTGTCACCCTTGGCTCTGAGGGTTAGGATAAATCATCCATAGCAACTTTACAGAGAATTTCAGGGTCTCTTCAATAAGAGGTTGGGCGTCCCAGGGCTGTTTTTCTTCATACAGCTGGCTCTCTAGTCTGCTCTCTGTTGGCATGACACATAGCTACAGTTAGTAGCTATAGGATGGTAAAAATAAGGAGCCGTGATGTAGCACCACACTGACTGTTATGCACATTCCCATATGGAATCCTCCGCAGTACTCCAGGTTCACTTCGATCTGCATTTCGTAGGTCTCTTTTCTAATGAAAACTCCCTCCGACCTGATATGTGTAATCTTTTTCTCATTTTCTTCTTTCCAGTTTTCTCCTCTTCCTCCTCTGGTTGATTTGTTTCTCCATTTTAAAATCACATTTATAAATGTGACCTGGTGCTAGAGAAAGTGGGTTGAAAGCATGTGACTGTGTTTGAGTAGTACCATAAACAGGAGTGCCATCCACAGGCATCTCTGATGCTCACTGAACACGTCTTTCTTTAGTCCTTTAAGCAGAGTTTTGAGGTTCAAAGAGGTTTGTGGAATGTCCTGCAGCAATTGTGTTTTGTTCAAGCACCCATTTTGCTATAATGTACTTAGAGTAGCATCAGCAGGAGTGACAGAAAATGCTTGTGCTTAGTCTCTGCAGAAAAGGAAGCTGGACACATGGAAGCCAAGTTTTACCAAAATAGCTCACAAGAAGGGAACGCATTAGAACTGGGCCCAAATAGGTACTTCTGTTGGTATTTATTTTATAGATCCTACTGGTGGGTAAACTATTCCTGGCATTTATTTGGATAGTTTTATAGGTGGGCATTGCTTTCTCCAGATAACTGGGGTTTCATTTAGTGACTTACAGGTCTTTCTTTGATCTCTTGGTCATTAAATGGTCGGAGTGCTTTAAGGCAACTGGTTCCCAAGTTCATTGACATATTCCTGAATAGAAAGTTTTCAAGTGTGTTATTATTAAGAAGATGTGGGCAATGAGTTAGTAACCTAACTAGATATTTTAATGTCATGCTACTAAAAAGTGGGTTTGTTGATTATTTGAGAACCCATGTCATAGTATGCAGCCAATTGGGCACATATTGAATAAATAACTGTCTTTCCCATCAGAATTCAGAGCTTAGAACTTGCAACATTTTTGGCTTGGAACAAAGCCAACCATTCTGAGTTAGTTGCAATGATACTGAGGGTTTTGGGTAAAGATACTAATTTACTGTTTGGCTTCTTCCTTCTAATAATTCCTTTCTTCCCACTTCCTTGAAGTTTTGAATGCTTACAATTGATGAAAATATTTCATAGGATGACATAATGAAACTGAACCATAAAATGCCTTCTCTGTCTTACCTACCGTTGGAAGTATAGAGTGATACATAGAGCACTGGTATCTAGATTTATGGATTTTACTGGTCAATAAAATAAAAAATGGAAGGACAACATATAGTTGTCAAACCTTTATTTTTCTATGTAGAATATTTAAAAAAAACACACACACACTTCAAAAAGTAAAGAGCTAATGACTACCATTACCATTTTCCAAATATATTTTAACATCAAAATGTAACAAGGATATAATCTCAGAATAAATGAAGTCTTTACCAAGAGAGGACAATTGATGATGTTGCATTGATGTTTTCTCCATGGACTGGTGAAAATTTCACCAGGGATTGTTATTCAGCTTTGGACTGTATGTTAGGGACTGCTTTCCGAATGTCCTACATCATCAACACATTTTACATAGTCTGTGGTGCAGTTTTTGGTTTATCTGTAATGAATTAGGAGCCTACAAATGTATCCTTGTCTTCTTTGGCAAAAGCTTTTAAAGTATTGAAAAGCAAATGAGTTAACATCTCACCTAACTATGTAGTTGTGAGCTGATACTGGTCATGTACTAAGTAATATGTAAAAGATATTTAAGGGTACAAATATACATGCTTTGCCCACATATATTGGTTATCACTCAGTTAATATTATTTTGCTTCCTCTCTGGCTCCAGCTTTTGTTTCTTTTTTAAGTCACATTTCTTAAGATTTTTTTTGCCCAGTTTAGTGATAGACTATAATCTTCTTTTTTGCTCAAAGAGTCCTCAGTATTCCAAAGAAGTCCCCAAAGAGGCCTTTTAAGTTTCTGGAGAACATTGAAGAATAGGGTAAATTATGATATGGAGATTTTTTTCAGACTCAAGAACAGTGAAATCAAAATTATACAAACCAGTTTTTGGAAAATGGTATTGATGATGCCTGTTATATGGATATAAATATCATATATTTCCTTTTGACTGTCTTATTATTGGCCACTTTTTGAAACACTTAGGGTAAATTTCATTGAAAATGAAAAGTAGAGAATGCTGGCTTAATAGTGACTCATTTATTTTTATTTTATGTGCAAAACAGGCAGCACAACGGGCATCTTCATCTTCACCCAAACTGAGTGAAACATTGTGCTCTTTCTCTTCCCTGGAAAATACCACAAGGACACCGAGTACCTTGTCCTCCTTATCTAAAGAAAGACAGTCCTGGATTGACATGAACAGTTCCTCTGCAGCTGAAGATGTGAGCCCGTCTATAGCCGTTGCCATGGAGTTTCACCCACCTGCACCCTCAGGGGCAGACAGTCAAAGGGCGCTGGAGAACAGCGTTGCCACCTCGGAAAGTAGATTTTTGAACTCTCTATCTGGTGAGAAAACATCTTCATTGAGTAGCAACCTAGACCATCTCACTGTCCCAGACCAGCTTACTGGACCAAAGATGATGGACAGAGGTAAGCCAAGCCATTGTGTACTCTTCTTTTGAGAATGACTGTTTGGGTGTGGATGTGGAACTCTGATGTTATTTTGTTAAACGAGTGTTGAACATCATGAATGATGATTCAGGAATTAAACAGTCTCGTGGGGCTAAGCCAAGGCGCTGTCTCTGTGGAGGAGTTTGCATGTGGAAAACTCCAGCTTCGAGGCCAGTCATGATCAGCTATAAGCATCATGAACCACAGTCAACTGAGACACGTGATCATAAAATAATGATATTTTTTTCACCAAGCCGAGGAAAGGCTTGGTTCTTTTCTTGGTCCCATGTTCTATGCTCTGAAGCTTGTAAGAATTAGATCAGGGTTTTGTAGACTGATATGTGGAACATCATTTCCTTGTTTCCAAATAAACTTAGAGCAACCACCTTCCCTGGACCACACCCGCAGAGTTGGGTTAGCCAGTAGGTTCCTGAAGGTGCCCATGTGGTTAACAGGAAGAGAGACAGTTTGCATACCTTTTGGAAGGCAGCCCTAGAACTTTAAAACACAAAGAAGGTCACAATTTATGCTCTTGAAAGAAAAATGTCTTCGCAAAGAAAAGAGCTAATGGAATGTAGAGATTAATAATGTGAGTCTTCCTAATGCTCTGTGATGGTTGGTCCTTCCTTTCATGCCGCCTAACTTTTTTATTATTAGGTTCACCCACGATGTGTCTTTTCTGATGGTCTGTGCCTTATTCATTCTGGTGTAGAACAAGCTTATCTGACATAAGATACTGAGCAATGATGCAGTGATAAGTTGGGTTTAGATATTTTTTTCCCTGTATTGTTGAGAGAAAGTTGACTGGCTACGTTGTTCCTGTGATATTTAGCCAGAGTGGCCGATGGCATCGGTGACTGTTCCCCCATCTCCTAGCCTAACCAGGAAACTTTTTTTTTTAAGACCTCACATTTTTAGATGTATTCTGTTTCATTTAGTATTTGTTATCAGAGTAATTTAGGCCAAGGATTACAACTGCAGACAAAGTGTGTGTGTGTGTGTGTGTGTGTGTGTGTGTGTGTACAGTATTTTAAAGAGTGTGAATTGGAATCCTAAGGCTGGGAACTCATTCTTCAGTCACCACAATTGTCATAGTGATGTTTCACACAGTTGACTTATCTGCCTGGCCTCTGTTGGCGTTTTCAATTGATACCCCAGTGGTCTCTTTTACATTTTAAAAAAGTAGAGTGAAAGAAGGTATTGGTAAAATAACCCACGTCTAGAGGTGAATGAGGTGGGGCAGGGAGGAGAATGAACGTAGTGCCACTGAGGGACCGAGAGGGGTCGAGTTTGGACTTGGAGGAGCGGAAAATGTAGACTCACCTGGCCTCAGGTGTGTGAGATGCTGTCAGGTAGAAGTATGGGCTTAATTTGTATGTCCTTGGAAGTACATAATTGAGGTAAAAAAGGAGGTAGTCTTAGGTTTAGCATAAGAAACTTCTTTTTAACATTGAGAAAGTTTAAAACAGAATGTGCTCCTGGGAAAGGTGTTCTCGCATTCTGAGACAGCTGCGTGCCTCGGATGTTAATTGTGTATTGTTCATTGTGTTTGTTTTTACAAAGATAGACTGAAGAGAGTTTAAGTATCTCTGACTATCTGGCTTCTAACTTGATACTTAGAAGATCCTTTCAGATACAGGAGTGGTGAAATGAAAGAAAATAATGAAAAGTACCACATCTATTCTTTTCCTGCTAAGAGCTTTTACTTGAATCATTGGGCCATAAGAGAGAACTGAAAAATTGCATGCATGCACAAACAGAACCTTGGGATGACAATGGTCTAAAAAACAAAGTAGATAATAGAATTCCATCTGCATTCTTCCCCAAGAGGCAACCCTGCGGGCTGAGTGGTCTTTAGGGTGAATAACCTGGGAGTCATGGGAAGATGTGTGAAGTTCTTACCTGTGTCTAAATATCACTCTTGGAATGCAGGCACTGCGGAGCCTGGCTGCGTACCAACAGCTCTCTCCTTCTAAGAAGGAAGAAGCCTGGTATTTTTAAATTTTGAGTTAAGTGCTGAGTGACCAGCAAAATCTGTCCACTTCCTCAAACAGCTTGACACGACAGTGTTCCTATCAGTAGAAAGGAAGAGGAAAAAAAAAAAGTGTTCTTCTTTCACCAATTTGTCGGCAGTTGCCATATGTTACGAAATTTTTGCTGATGATTTTTTCCTGCTACTGGGGATTTGGTTAAATTCCCAGAACAGTTAAACTACATAAAGCCGTTGCTATGGAAACAGCAACCCAGTCTCTGCTTGTGTTTCTGATGACCTGCTATTGAGTAATCAGATTGTGTATTCTACATTTTAAAAAACATGTGTGTGTTTGTGTGTTAGAGAAAGTAGCTTTTCGTTTTTGTAACTTTAAGAAAGTATTTTTTACCTGCCAGTTAAAAATAAGTAATAAAAGCTGTGAAATTCCTGTGTTTGAAATACTGCTCAGGGTATTTTCATGACAGGGATTGAAGTTTTGACATCGTCCAAAACAAAACAGGAGTTAGGATTTTAAATTAAGTCCTGGGCTCAAGATGCACTTGTTGGAGAAAGGCTTTTATCCTAGAAAAAAAGAAAGATTCTTAAAGGTTAATAACTGAGTCTTGAGACAGACAGACAGCCTGCATTGTAGCCTTCTTTTTATTTAGACAATGAGAGAAATATTTTGCAGTTGGTATGCAATTAAAAGTGTGGTTGCTAGAATTTTATGCTGAATTTAAATATCCTTTTAGACATTTCTCCCTCCCTGTGTAAACTACTAAAAAATGCAGGATGTTCATTGCCTCCTATTGCCTTTCCACATCGGGAGTTTCAGAGCTGTCCAGACCCTTCTGGTCTCTCTGCAAAGCTTAGGGGAAATGGGGTGATGGAGTGAATGTTCATCTCAGTTCCATTTTACTCTGTGCTGCATCTTTCTTTTGGCAGGGGTTCTTTGGCCCACGACTTATGCCTGTGTGATGCTGACTCACATTGTTGTCTCTATTTGCATGCTATTAACAAGGGGGAGACCATTTCATTATACTTACTCCATGAGTACAGTGACCATGCCCTGGACACTGGAAAGCTAATAACCACTAATAAGACTAACACCCAATATATACAAATATATTTTTCAAGTACAAGTACTGCCAGAATTAACCTGAGAACCCTGTTTAATGAAAAGCATTTTTAATGAAAAGATAGGCACACTGGAGCATGCATGACATCTCGGGGAAGTGGCATAAATGAGCCAGATTTTAAAATTTAGCAAATTTTACAAAAATTTTTACATAATTTGCGTGCGAACAGTAATGATGATACATTATTTTAGTCAGCTACTGCAGATGTTGCTGTAGGAATTTTGTGGCCTGTCTCTTTAGAAAGCAAGACGATAAGAAAATGTTGAATACTGAACTCCATTCAATGTAGCATTATTTTTATTATTTTTTTGAGGAGTTAACATCTATTCAAGTACTTTGTGCTAGAGGGAATACAAAGATGAATAAGACACAATTTCTGGTCTAAAACATTTTAACATCTAATAAGGAGAGTGGGAGGAATAAGACACACTTAACCAAAGAAAGCACAGGAAAGTAGATGTCCCAGAGTACAAAGTACTTGAGGGATTTAAAAGAGAATAGGGACTCAAACTAGGGCAGATCACCTTTAAGTGGGAGGTTCTGTGGATAAAGATTGAAGACATGGGAAAGGCAGATGGAAAAGAAATTTGGATAATGTTGAATACTGGGCTAGTCATTAGTTTATTTCAATAGGAATGGATGACAATGTCTAACAAGGTTAATCATTTGATTGAGCTATGCTTTATAAAAATCGTGTCAGCTTCAGAAGGTGAAGTAGAAGAGAATAAGAGAAGACTTGTTATTTTAGGAATAAGGGAATTAGAGGAGTTAGGAAGCTTCTGTAATAGATGGGGTGGCTGTGGACATAGAGAAAGCAGCGGTGAGATTTGAGAGGTTCTCCAGCATGCCTGTCAGTCAAGGTGAATGACTGATCTTGGTCTTTGTATCTCTATCACTTAATTTCGTCCCTAGCAAATTTCCCAGTGACCCTGTTTTTTGAACTATGCTTTGAAAATGGGCATAAATATTTACTACTGGAAAAATCTTAAATCTATGTGTTGACCTCAGCGGCATTTGTTTCAGGCATGGATGACCCACTACCTGCTTTCTCTGCCTTTGTGAAATCCTCCCCGTGTTAGTGAAATTAGTTTATTTTCATTGCTTTATAGTACTCAAGTGTTTTAATATATCATAAGAAATGTATCTACTATTGATGAACATTCTATTTTTCCAGCTTTGGGCTCTTATGTAAAATGCTGATGTGAGTATTCTCTTTTTCTTTTCTTTTTTTTTTTAATTAATAGACTTAAATTTTTAGAGCAGTTTTAGATTAGCAGAAAAATTGAGCAGGAAGTACAGAGAATTTTCATATAATCCCTCTTCTCCTTCACACATTGCCTCTATTATTAATATCTTGTATTAGTGTGGTTTACCTGATTACAATGAACAACTAATATTGACAAATTTTTATTAACTGAAGTCCATGTTTCCGTGAGGGCTCACTCTTTGTTCTGTACATTTCTGTGGGTTTTGACAAGTACATAGTGTCATGGATCTACCATTATGACATATACAGGATAGTTTCAGTGTCGTAAAAAGCTGTGCTCTACCTCATCGTCTCTTCCACCCTTTTCCCGAGCCCCTGACAACCATTGATCTTTTTACTCTTTAGTTTTAGCTTTCCCAGAATGTAATAGAGTTAGAATCATACAGTAGGTATGATTTTCAGATTGACTTCTTTCCCTCAGTAATGTGCGTTTTAGTTTCCTCCATGCTTTGTCGTGGGTTAATAGCTCATTGCTTTTTTTTTCTTTTTTATCCTCACCCAAGGACATTTTTGCATTTATCTTCAGATAGAGTGGGAGGGAGAGAAGATGGAAGAGAGAGAGAGAAACATCAATGTGAGAGAGACGCATTGAGTGGTCACC